AGTTTTAAGTTGTAAGAACAATTTACTATTTTATTTATTTATTTGATGTTTACTAACTCCAAGCTTTCATCAATAGTTGCGATGTGCACTTGACTCTTCTCTATTTACAAACAACTACATATTGAAATACACTCGAAAAAAATACAAGGGCCATTGTTTATTTGCAAGATTTCAAGTGCAGTGTATATATATGTATATGCAACTCCTGTAATTCTTTCGAAATATAGGTCATGTCATGTTCTATATAAAAAGGGTATTTTTTCTAAAAACACAAACAAATTTATATTCATTTTTAAGCTTTTAAATACACATTCTTTGACTTTGTGCAAACTTTTAATATTGGATATAATTGAATTGAATTATTTCTTAAAATTAATCGATATTTTATTTTATGTTAGTTTTATAATGGTCATAATTTTTAATAGCGTATATTGTAATGTTGGCTTCACATTCATTAAATATTTTTTGCAGCAAATATCCAAGAATTACTGATTTTTAGTTTTTCTTTAAAAGACAAAAAACCAAGCAAAATGTATTATTTTATGATTTAAGATCTGTCCTGCAATATCAAATGTTTACATTTATTCCATCAAAAACTTTAACAATATGGATGTACGTTCAATACCTTTTTTCTAATGTATTTTAAGAATTATTTTCCGTTTTAATTAAAGAACAAACAAACAAAGTTGTACTAATTCACTAAACACTGACTTAAGCTAATGAACTTCAATCCACATTTGTCTTGTATCGTTTAATTGAAAGAAAAATCGCAAAACAACATCTAATAAAATCTTAATTGAACGCGAATATAAAAACAAAAACAAACTTGTAAAGGGATAATTGAAAAGAATGTATGGTTGATAAAATGTTAAGCTTCTTTTAAATTTCGCTCGTAAATACTCTCAAATATTTTACAATACTCATATGTAATTATATTAGGGTAACCCTTAAAATAAAAGTTGTTAAGCAATTATGGACCAATCCTAATAAAATTTAGGTTAGGTTGATAGAAGGATGTATAGTACATCAAATCTACATTCGTCTGAATCCGCACAGCCAATTTTGTAATTCTGTGTGTCTACTCAGAATACGTACCATCATACTAACTTCAGACTTGCTCATTTTGAGGAGATTTCTCGTCTTGTTCTCATCAGTGTCACCACATAGGATCAGTGTGACCAGGTCTCAAAAAATGTTGCGGCTAAATCCCACCCAAAAAATGCTAGAAAAAATGCTAAATTGATTTTAAAATGCCAAAAAAATGCTAAAATTTTTTAAGTGTTTTTATGAACAATTCATATTAATTTGTAACTGAAATTCATTGTAATTTATAACAAGTAAGAAATATATTCTGCCGTTATTGACCATATGAGTATAAAATTTGATTTATTTTTCGTAATAAAGCATTTATGTTGAATTGAACCTGGGTTCCGATATATTTAAACTAATTTTCTGAGAAAGGCTTTATACATTTGTATATGTATGGGGACTAGGTAAAATGAAGGACGGACTTTAACCATTTTTAAAAGGTTTTGTCATTGGATCAAAAAGCATACGGTCAGATTTACATGGCTTAATCGATTCAGAAAATGATTCTTAACCGATTAGTATACTCAAACGTAGTATAGTGGAGTAGGGTAAAAAATTAAGTTCCGTGGTATTAAGATAAACAGAAATGCTAAAAATTATTTCAAAATTTTTATAAATTTAGCAATATGTAATGTCTCTAACTTTAAAATATTTCTGAATGCAAAAATTACATTAAAACTCTATTAATTACACTAGTTGCTCATTGTATAAAACCTATATGTGTTTTCGGAAGGAAAAGTATAATATTTCTAGTTTTACTTTTTTTATATAAACAATTTTATTTGTCTTCCTCAAAACACTTTAAAAATGGTTCTCATGTCACAAAAATATTGAAAATTCCGTTGAATTAATTTTAAATCTCGGTGAATAGATGTCAGGTTTATAACTCATACTTCCAAGATTTTTTCGGAAAAATATATATGAGAATGTATGAAATGAATTGAGAGATATATTCAAATCCGTAAGTTTGTAATTCTGGAATAAATTGTCAATAATATTTTCGAAATTTATGTATTTTTTTTAATTAAAAAAAAACGTGAAAACAAAATTACTAAAAATTTGGTAAAAAAAAGAACAGAAAGTAGGATGAGAAAGTCTTAATTATATATTATTAATTTTTTCAATACTTATTTTCAATAAATTAACAAGAACTCCTGAAGGATGATAAAAACTAAAACCTCTTTATTTCGTATAGGAAAAAATAAAATTTGTTAATTAACCGTCATACATAACCTTTTCCAAAATTATATGTTTCATTCCATGAGCAAACAAAAAGTATTAGTTTATAAAATAGCGTACTGAACGTATTTGTAAAAATATATGAAATCTCTTGAATTATTTCTATCACCTCGAATTTAAAAAAGCATTGGGTTCCAGAAAAATATTTTAGAATACAACATTTTGAAGTATTCACTTGTATTGGCGTAATTTTAAGTTATTTATCTTCATGAATCTTTCTGCATTATTTTGAATTACAGTGTAAATTATTACATTTCTCATATTTCTTGTTGCTTGTGTTTGGGTAGACATTTAATTCAGATTTTTCCGGTTAAACCTATTTCCAATATAAATCTTTTTTGCAAAAATTTGTCTTTTTTTGTTTATATACTAAAATTGCAAAAAAAGCTAAAAATGCTAAAAATATTTTATAAAAATGCTAAATAAAATGCCAAATGCTAAATTAAAATTTTACAGCTAAATCAAAATAAAAAATGCTAAATCTAGCTGCAAAAATGCCAAAATGGTCACACTGCATAGGATCTTTGTGGTTCTACCCACCGTTTCATTATTCCCGTTTCATTATTCCTTATGGGATTCTCTCACCCATATTTGGGAGACTATTCAGTTAAAGCTTTCGTACAATCCGATACGGTCTTAGATTTAATTCTATCACCTGATATCTCCCTAATTTCTTTCTGGCTGTCGGTAAATATACAATTCTAGCAACGATTCCAGAGCTTTGGTTGAAGTAATACACATGGAACCACTTATACCCACGCAGCATGTACGCTGAACTCAGTGCAGTATTTTGATATTACACTTTTTGTTCAATGCAGTCCACCAGAATATTAAAGAATAAGCTGGAATTGGTCTAATTACGCTCTTATAAAGCCAATTTGTCATAGTAGGACTAAGACCCAATTTCATGCCTATAGTTCTCCTACAAATCGCCCAGCACCGATGTGCCTTGTTGATCCTATCCTCTATGTGGTATCTCCATTTTAATTTCCGATCGAGGATTAACCTAAGTACTTAACATTGTCTGTCACCGATATCTTCTTGCCCAAGATGCAAGGTTCAGTAAACGTAGAAATATTTGCCTTTCTTGTGAAAAGACAGATTAACGTCTTCGCAGTGTGAACATTGAGGGCTCTCGATTGTGCCGAAAGGCCTCGTAAGTATACATCACTGTTCTAGTACTAGAAGTATAATGATTTTATAATTTATGTCTACTTAATTAATGTCCTGATGAATATTTTAATGTTTATAAAAAGGCGCCATAATAATCTCACAACCCCTATTTCATTATCTACATATTCTTGATGTAGGACACGAGAGCCAAACGACAACAAAAACAAATAGTTCTTTCAACCTATAGCTTTGGGAACAAATTTAGCACATTTTTTTTAAAACTAAGAAACAGTTTTAGGTCATGGCTAGAAGTCATTTACGCACTAATATTTGCATTAAAAAATACAAAAGTATACTCACAGGAGTTCAACATTAGCGTCGCACAATTCTTATTTATTGCAAAACACATTTGGCCAATAGCATAACAATTGGAGCTGGCATGAGTTGAATTACATATGAAAATTTACATTAAATTTATACATAATTTAATTTAAATGAAATGAACTTTAAGACTATCGTTTAATCTAATTTACTGATGACATACTTATGCATGTATTCTCATTTTATTTAAAGAAATTTTTTTTTATGTGGTTTTCCTTTTTCTATGTGAGTTAAGTTTGTTAATTTTTCAATAGTTTTTTCATAAATTAACATATTTAGACAAACTGTTACATACATATGTACATATCGTCATATGAAATCCAAAAAGCCGTTGAATTATCTATAATACTGAACCTAGAAATATTAAATTATGCATGTACAGCCCGATTTAAGTGAGAACCCATAAAAGGGGACTTTTTGGTACCTTACCGTTTTACAATTGGTATTTTTTGATTTTTTGTAATATAATTCGTACTGGCTGTTTTTGAACACATCATGGTGAAGGGTATATAAGATTCGGCACAGTCGAATATAGAACTCTTACTTGTTTTCGAACCCTTTGAGCAATTTTATATAAAGGAGGTGATAACTATCCTCACATTGTCCTTCAGATACATTCGACAAATTCTTTTTGAATGAAACACCCTAATAGATACAAACATACATACATATGTATGTATGTATGTATGTATGTGCATATAAGAACTCAATAATTTTTGATTGTCACAATTTAATAAATCCATCACATTTCCAAGGAACACAATCATTTGATGTTGACGTGCTTGTCGACGAAAATTAAAATGAAATCTATTTTATCCCAGCACTTAAACGTGATTTTTATTGATTGTCACCGATAAGAACAAAAAAAATAAAGGTTTAATACTCGTAAAAGCTTAAAAAGAAGAATAAGCAAAATGAAATCATTGAATACTACAACAATTCTTAGTAGATGGATTGTTAAATTTATACTTGATTACTTTCAATTTTAGATTTTCCTCTTTGCTGTTGTGCTTCCTTGTTATAGTCATTCCATTTAGCTCCTCATTATCTCTAAAGTAGATTTATACAACTTCATCATCATATTTAAGTGCAACCAACAATCATTAAGAAAACAACATAAATGAACATTTTGACACTTTTTTATATCGTTTTCTTTTTGGTTTTTTCATTCATTGCAGATCAAAAGTCAATACTTACCGATAGCGATTGGAAAAAACTATGGATGCGAGGAGGTATAAATCCCGATTCAAAATTGGATAGCAACAACATTGACTCAAGCGACAGTCCAATGTTTGAAGATAGTGAAGTAAGTATTAAAGATTAAAATATTTATTTTCAAAAATGAAAGGAACAGAACAAAGAAATTTCAAAGGGTTTAAAATGTTTATACGCCACAAATGCGATCCTTTAAAATTTCTAGACTAAGAATAATTACAGATTTGGCATCATTATTTCATGGTCGAAAACATGTGAGTTAGGTTGAGTCAACCTGTCACCATCTAAATATTTTATATAGTCATGTATTCTTATACTGTTTTTATTATGGTTTTCTAAAAAACTATGTTGATATGATAATGATATTATCTCTTAGAACCCACATATGCCGAAAAGGGTATTTTTAAAGCCAATTCACAAAATCGTATGTACTTGTAGCTTGGAAAAGTGAGCCTAATCACTTAGTTATTTGTTTACTAATAGAAGACATTCATGACTAGGATGGCATAGGGGACTTCCACTCCCCCCATTTTTGGAGCCATTTATGGACATTGTTTTATATTGCCGAAACAAATAATTTTATGTATATCGATTCTTACTTTATCTATAGCAGAAAGCTGACTTTTGATGTACATATGTCTCCTACAATATTCCAATATTGGTCTATTTATGGGTATTTTTCTACCCATTCAGCTTTAATAGGGTGATATAAATTGCAAGTTTTCCAAAAGATGTTAAAAATACCTTAATTTAAGAATTTCCCGTTTTTTTTTCGGGAATGATTGATCATTGCGAAAGGAATTAAAGGATTAACTGTTCTTTTAAATCAAAATATTTTCAGAGAACGTATGAGAATAAAATTGTTTAATTTCAATTCATAAAAAAAATATTGATGTCCTTCACTTTTTTTATCAATATTATTGTTGAAAGAAAATATTTATAAAATTATGCCTTAAACAAAAACAAATTCTTTTTACTTTTTGTTTTCGTATTTATCTTGTTTCGTTTCAGATGATGGCGCACAATACGACCGTCCAGTTGGGTGGCACTGCGTTCCTGGTGTGCAAAGTTTCCGGCGTGGATAGAGTGGGTGTAAATTGGGTTTGTTTGTTTTTTTATGTTTGCAAATGTGTTTATTTATTTATTTTTTCGTTTTCCCTCTTTTTTTGTTCTTTCTTTCATTATTTGAGTGATTGCAAAATTTGATTTATTTTATTTGTTTATTTATGTTTTCAAATCGTATAAAATTCTATTGTTATTTTAGGAAATGCATGATTTAGTGTTTTCGGACGGAGGAAAAAAAACAAACAACCTCTAAAATATTCATAGTTTTAACTGTTGCATAAATAATTTTAGTAATGTTTAGTAGCATTTATGAAATGCAATAAAATAAAATATTGCGAATTTTGATGAATATTTGTAAAAAAAAGTTTGAATTAAATTCAATTGTTCAATTCTCTATTTAAATAATAGAATAACGGGAAGTCTTTTTAAAAAAAATCCATAATTTTAACATGATACATAAAAATTATATGAAATGAAATAGTAAATTTAAACGAACGAGAAAATATTAAAAATTTATTTTTTTTAAATATTAAAACAAAAATGTGCTATTATTAAATATGTAAGTTGAAAAATTATGATATTTGCAAAAAATTCCAAAAAAGTCGAAACAATTATTCTGAAATATCTGATAGAATATAACATACAAATTCATTATAAGTAGAGCTCGGTTCTACCCAATTTATATACAGAGCATGTCATATAAAACTAGTTATTTTTGAATATCGTAGAACTAATCAACAACACACCTTCCAGGTTATTTTGTGTTTGTGTTGATTTTTGTAATGCATCAAACATAATCAGAATCGAAATTATAAATATACTTAATTCGAAATTCTATATTCATTATTTTCAATAGGCTTCGTACTTGGTAGTACAATAGAAGATCATCTACGAAATTTTTTCGTTTATAAAGGCGAATGATATACTTTAAGGTGGGTGGAGGGCCTACGTATATTTCTAAATGTTACAAACATCAGCACAAACCCTTAACACCCATCGCACGGTGCAGATTTGAAAAATATATACAATTGTATACTATTTAAGCATTTTATGCAAATATTAACCTTGATCCTATAATTACACTAATTACTTTTAAAAAAATTATAAAACAACTATTTTACAAGGGAAATTGGACGTTTTTTGTTTGATTTAAAAAGACCACATTTAATAATTAATTAAAGCAGAACACATTTATGAGAAAAGAATGCATTACACATATTTTTTTTTGTCATAAAAATTTCATTAAAATTTACCTTTTTTGTTTAAAAGTCAACGCCTTTTTTCATATCAAATGACGATTTAAAATGTATATTAGCTCACACTTGCCACAAAACATCTCATTGAAAAATGACCACGAAATACAATCCGCTGTCGATATATTTATCGATATTTTACAAGACGCTGTCATAGTGTCTACACCCCCTGTCACCTTGGGAGACCATAAAAATTTGAAAGACAATACTCAGACGTCAATGGCAACAATAGCGATCTCCGAATATAAAGGTTAAACTTAATCAATGCCAAAGAAGACTTCACATCGCTTTAAAAAATAACCTCAAAAGAGAAATTACCTCAAAAACTTAGACCCAACTAAGAAAACAGAATATAGTCTCTGGAAGGCTGTCAAAAATATGCAATGACCTATTGCAAATGAGTCACCCATACGCCCCCAGAATTGTGAATGGGCAAGAAATACCCCAGAAAAAATTGAAGGATTCGCCAATCACTTGGATAATGTGTTTACTCAAAATGGCACAAATTCATCTATTAGTACCAACATTATAGATAACGAGGTTCCACACCCAAAAAAATTCAGGCTCTCTACCATTAAGACGACAATCAAAGGTCTTAAAGCAGGAAAATCACCTGGTATAGATAAAATTACTACCACCATGATAAGTAACCTGCCCAATTCAGCACTGAGAATTTTTTTGTTCATTTTTAACTCGATGCTACGTATTGGATATTTTCCTATCTCATGAAAAATATCCGAGATAGTTATGATATCAAAACCGGGAAAAGATGTCACTCAAGTGACTTCATACCGCCCCATTAGCCTCTTGTCTATATTCTCAAAACTTTTCGAAAAGTCATTGCTCGAAAGCCTTATAGTACACCTTAACGATAATTGCATTATTCCTGATCATCAGTTCGGTTTCAAAAGAAAACACAGCACTATCGAACAGGTACATCGAATAACCACTCTTATTCGGAAGGCCTTCGAGAGCAAGCAATATTGCTCAGCATTATTCATAGATATTTCTCAAGCTTTTGATAAAGTCTGGCACGATGGACTAATACACAGAATTATTACATCACTGCCTGCGAATGTTCACAAACTGCTTAAAAATTACATATATGAAAGAACTTTTCAAATCAGATCTAAAGATGTGATCTCTTCACGTCGTAAAATATCTGCTGGAGTACCCCAGAGAAGTATTCTATATATTTTATATACTGCAGATATGCCAACGAGCACACTGACTCACACATCTACATTTGCGGACCATACCGCAGTTGTAAGTATACATGAAAACCCTTCAATAGCTTCAACACAACTCCAGACTCACATTGGCGAATTGGAAAAATGGCTGGACAAATGGAAAATAAAAGTCAATTCAACAAAATGTACTCACGTTACATTTACTGTATTCGAGAAAACTGTCCTCCAATACAGATAAACAACGTCAAAATTCCAGAACAGGCCAAGTGAGATACCTTGGTATCTATCTTGATCGCCGTTTAACATGGATCCACCATATTGAAGCTAAGGTTACACAAATAAAATTAAAGTCAGCTCAATTGCACTGGCTAATTGGCCCACGGTCTGATCTAGACTCAGAGTACAAAGTACTTTTGTGCAAGACTGTCATAAAACCGATATGGCTATACGGCATTCAGCTATGGGGAACAGCATCCTCATCTAATGTTGAAAAATTGCAAAGAAAGCAGTCAGCACTGTTAAGGACAATAACAGGTGCCCCGTGGTACATTCGCAATAGTAATATTCACAGGGATCTCAATGTCCCCATAATACGTGAGGAGATCAAACTCTCCAGTTTAACCTACCTGTCGAAACTAATGGATCACCCAAATCCCCTTGCCAGGGACTTGCTGCTATTTGAGGGTCATAGACGACTGAGGAGAATGGAAACCCTGGATCTTGCCAGATAATCAAATCGAGAACTTGTGTTGAAACTGCAGTGGAAGTAACAACGTTAGTCATAGTTTATGTAAAGATTTTAATAATTATTGTAAATTTCTACTTAAGAAAGATTCAAAATTTCTACTTAAGAAAGATTTCTACTATAATTGTGTAGGTTAATAACAAAGAAATTTTGTTGTTACTAAAACACACCTACAGACACACATATACTTAGTTATACGCACACATGCGTAAGTAAGTGTTTATTTTAATTAAAGACCATATTTAATGAGAATATAATGCGTGTAAATTAATATCATCCCTTTTAACAGAGTGTGCAGAAATATACAAACATAAATAAATATGTATGTTTGTGGGGAAAAGTTATATAATTCTAATCAAAAGCCTATTTTTAGGGGCTGGTTTAGTATATTTTACATTAACATGTTTGTACACAACTAAACACTTTAGTAGTTAGTAATGTTAGTACACATTTATTTCACTGGATAAAAATAAAATCCAAGTACCTAAATTTATTTATTTCATTATAGAAAACGATATGTTGATAAACGCTTGTAATTTAGAAGCATTTAAAAGGCAAAGGCAGCACATTAACTAAAAATGTTAAAATAGGGCGCCTTCGTGTTTAAAAAACAAACTACGCTAAGACTTACATACATATATGAGATGCAATCAATTTTAAGTAACTTTTTGAATGGTTTTAAACGTCTCAGTATGTTTTGAGATAAAAATCTTGTAACTATTTCGCAAATTTGGAAATAAATCCATGAAAGTTAGTTTTGAAAACATGTACTGTTAAAAATTGTAATATCGTTGCAACAATCGATATAAATAATATTATAAAAGCATCACTATTTTTAATCCAGGTTATTCTGTACTGACAGATGCCTTGGTATTGACATTAGAATAATCTAAATGTTATTCAAAAGTCAAAAAACAGGTCGCGATGAAGGCAACGTAGCGTATACAATTTGTTGAAATTTATTAAATTTCTTTCTGTGTACAGTTTAATGATATACATTAGTAGGTAAATGTTTAAAGGCACAGAGCCTTTTATTTGCACAAATTTATAATTTATAAATAAATTTATGCAAAATAAAAATATTCAATAAGGTAAATAATTACGACAAGAAATGATTTTATTAAAGACATAGATGGATGTGAATTAGAAAATATACATAATAAGTATAAAATTTAAATATGTACATAAACATCCTTTTTGCAGTTAAACTTTGTTAATTGCTAATTAAGTTATACAAGTATTCAGGATAAATAAAAGAAATATACATATGAATGTACATAACAATCCAAAGGAATACAATTCCTGTCAGATACATTTGCTTTAAGAATTTAACTTGTCTTATAGTTTGTCTTATTTTTATCTGTTTTATTTAGTAATCTGTTGGATTTGAAAATGTACCATTTGATTTTATTTGTTTCAGTTTATCTCTATATTTTTATATTTTTGCATGATGTTTTCTTGTTGGTTGTTTGTACGCATATACATGTTTTATGTAATATATTTCAAAACGTAGTTTTCCGTATTCATGTATTAATATACATATTTATATATTTTTCCTTTTTTTCGTTTTTGTGTTTTTTTATTTCATATTTTCTCATGTTCACGTAAACATACGCAACAACTGTTCAGAATCAAATATCTTGGATACGTCGCCGAGATTGGCACATACTGTCGTCAGGTGCTCAACTTTATACAAATGATGAACGTTTTGCCATATTGCATACACCTGGCTCAAATATGTGGACATTGCAGATAAAGTTTGTGCAACGACGAGATCACGGCATGTATGAATGTCAGGTGAGTTAAAATGTATTCAGGTTTCTGTGTTTCTTTTCACTTTTCACTTTTCCTTGTATTTTTCCTGTGCATATTGTACAAATTATTTTCAGTTTTTTAACTCTAGGGAAATCAGTTTATTTTTATGTAGTACACTTCTAGAGTTTTATGTAAATGTATACGTAAATACTTGCATAATATACATATGTATGTATGTACATTGTATTCATACATTACATGTGTATAAATTTTACTTAAGCTTAACATATGTATGAACAATGTACATTGTACATATATAGAACTATATTCATGATTTATTTATTTCGATTATAAAATTTGCACCCAGTTTGGGAGAAAATCGGAGGAACAATTTTCTAAAAAATTCTAAGCACAAAAACTATAGAACTTTATACAAAGTTCATTTTACTAACGGAAGTAGAAATTACTGATACATACGTCTTATAATATCTCAGCAAAATAGATCATAGAGATCACTAATTTTTGAATAGAGTGCAATGAAGGTATGCCATTTCCATAGATATTACAGGTTTTATATCTGTTTAGAACAGCACCTTTTTAAAATGTACCTTGGTTATTAAACGTTTTAAATTTTTCTCTGGAATTTCAGATAAATGCTTCTCCTTTCATACATATGTAAGTTAAGGCAAAAATCATGAATTTTTAGTACTAGGTTTCTTTGGCTTTGTATAGATTCATCACTAAAGGTTTTTTACAAACTCGAATGTTTAGGGGATGTGATGGGTAAAAAGGGTGTTGGTGTTGGTTCGTGATACGTTTTTGACTTAGCTCCTAAATTGAAACCCTAAAACGAAGAACTCTGTCAACATCAATTTAGCTATTTATAATTACCCAGATTGCAAAATTTGTCTACTAATTTTCCCTGCGTTATAATATTTATAGATATTGTTTCGAGAAAAACCCTTTACATGTTTTATGACATTTTAGTACTTTGTGTATAACGTTTAAGGAAATAGAGGAAAGTAATGGTCATTTTTGAAAATAGATAATACTATTTGAAAGACTTACATATAACGTCCAAAGACCATAAATTTGTAGTATGTACTTAGTCCAAAAACCCAAATTTTTGGATATGTCAATCTTGTAGTACGTGAGTGATATATTTTTATGTATGTTTTCTAAGAGATAGGAAAGTAATTTACTACCAGTCATCCAGACAAATTAAAAATAACTACTCTGACATGAGTGAATATACTCATGGCATGCACTTTCTTATATTTATGCAATTTTTTTATGTAAGTGAATAAAATATTTAAAACTGACACAGTAAATAAACAAACTGTCTGTCAGTCAACTATGAAAAATAAACAGACAAAGATAAGACGGACACTGGACACAATAATAAAATAAAACATTAAAAGATTCTTAAGTAGATACGTGTACACTGTACAGGCTACTACTTCTCTGCTAAGTACATACATACATATATTCTATACATTAAGGTGGCACATAAACAGATGTAAAACACAAATGTTATATTTTTCAGTGTAAACAAATTAGATTAAATTTAGATTAATTTAGAATATTTTGTCATTTTAATTCAGCCCTAGCTTCTTCATTAATATGATTCTTGATAAAATTTTATAAAAAGTAAATAGTTAATTTGATCCATATTTCTCGAATTATTTCTTCTAAATACTTAACTTTTTAAAATTTGCACTTTTTTAATATCTAGGTTTTTATATATACATATATGTAACTAAAAATCTATTTACTTAAACATACACATATGTATGTACTAAATATATGTATTTTTTGGTTGACCAGAATAGGTTTGCTAAGCAAATACGTATTTCGTTATATATAGTTACTTATATTCAGCTCCAAATGCATTTTGTTGTGTACTTGCAATTTCTTTTAAACAAATTGAATGACAAAACAACATTCTTGGTGATATTATCATCAGGGTTTTCTTCTATTTTCTTTTACGTCCCCTTCTTAACTACGAGAAAAAATTTTAACTAAGTAGTTTTCTATTATTTACTTACTAAATAAGAATGAGAACTTTCAGGTATTTTTCTACCAAAAGGTCAACACTTTCAATAGGTATTTAGAAAATGGAAAAAAATAAAAAATTGCATAGGACTTTTGTTGGTGGTCAAGTAGAAACATTCTTATAAAAGTATTAGAATATTTGCAGTCAATTATTTTTGTTTTTCATAAATTTGAAAATTCTCTTAAAGTACATACTTTCAAATTAATATTATTGAGATTACAAATACCTAGAAATGTTAGCATAAAGGAGAATGCGCATTCGATTTAATAAGTATTTTATTTAAAGTGATAAAAATAAAAATTTCTAAAATTTCTTTATTTTATTTGTTGCATAATTTTAAAAATTATTTATTGTTTTTCCTTTCCCAGGTCTCCACTCCCACAGGCATTATTTCACATTTTGTTAATCTTCAAGTGGTTGTACCAGAGGCATTTATACTAGGTTCCGGTGAATTACATGTTGACATGGGTTCTACCATCAACCTAGTTTGCATTATTGAAAAGGTAAGATATTTTGTAGATTTTATTTTTATATGTACTTCGTAATACCCAATTAAAAAACTAGTGGTGGTTAGTAAACATGTTTATTAAAAACTCAGTTTGTGATTTTTAAAAACTCCTAAGTCACATCCTAAAAATAATGTTTATTTGGTAAAATAAGATTCATTTAAAAATTTCAATCTGCAGAAAAAATGTTAGACGAATGGGACGATAAGACTTTTGTGTTGCCTAACTCAGCTCTTGATTGAACCTAGAACCTAGAACTGTCTTAGTGATATCCTCTCTTTCTCGACATATCGGTTTCTCCCACTACCCGTTAGTAGTAGTTGTCTTTTCATATTCTTCAATGCCCTGCCCGTGTCATCGAGCAATGATTCTGCGATTTAGCCATTAGACATTTTTATTTTCATTTATCCATTTTGATTCTTTAAAAATTCAGAGAATGCCTGATAAATCGCATAAATTTTTTGACTTTTATAGAATTCTAAGATGACCAAGCTCGTCTTTTTAAAGTAAAGAGACCAATACATTTTTCAGAAGAAAACTATTTTAATAACTTTCGTTGAGAAAATAAGCGAGATTTGTGATTCCTCATATTTCTGGAAAAAAATAATTTTTAACGATGACAGCACAAAAAAAACATAAAATCGTCAATAACTTCGTATTAAATCGAACATATTGAGAAAATAATCTCAACATGTGATTACTTATATCTTATACCAAAAATATATCTTTCATTCAGTGGAGAAGATTTACGACGTAGTAAGTAGTGCAACTCTCAGAGCCTCATCTTCGTATGAAGTGGAATTGTTATAACACTGTTGCCAAATATATTACTTTTTGACTGATGTCCTTCAACAATTTAGCCAGTTGTGACCGTTTCTACATTGGCGACTATATAAATATTTATATGAATCTTAAATAGCTGTAAATGGTATTTTATTTCAAATTCATTTGAATAATTTTTAAAATTCGATTCGACAATTTCCACCGTTACTATAGTTCTGTTCTGGATTTTCAATATTAATTATGTATCAACTTTGAGAACATAAAACAAGATATGATTTATCTTACATACATACATCAATTAAGATTGTATTTTCATTGGGAGTTTATCTGTGGCAAACTATTTATAACCTTTCATCATTTATACATACATACAACTGAATATGAAAAAATGTTGAATAATTAAAAAACAATCATTTTACCTTCCCAGCAATGTTTTATTGTTTTTCTTTCTTTTGTTTATTATTTTTTCTTTTTAATTGTGAGCAATTTTTTCAAGTACCTATTGTGAATCAAGTACTGGTGGAACAAAAAATATAAATAAATGAATAAAATTAACAAAGGAAATTTTATGCAAATTGATTGTCCTCTTTTTTTGTAGAAAATAAGTATTTATTTTACCCCGCTCACTTTTCATAACACTCCTTTTTCTGGGTTTATTTTATTTTTTGTTTTATTTACTACATACATACGAAAATAAATGTGTAGATAGTTACATTGTAAAACAATTTTATTTAATAAATAAAAATAATTAATTCAATATGAACATCTATACGTATACTTAACACAACAGCCTTTTCATTAAGTATACGTTCGATATATTTCTAAAGAACAGTAATTGATTACTCTATGTATGTATAAATTGAAGATTAATTCCAACTTTTAACTTCGTAAATCGAATAAAGAAGCTGAATAGATTTCGTATGTGTTAAAATAAACCTGATACGATCTTTTACGAAATCTTCATAATAAATTTTGTCAAATAAATTGAAAATTTCAGTTTTTCGCCACAATTAACAACTCTATAATTTCATCTCGACTTTTTTCTTTAACACACACAATCAGATAATAAACAAAAATATGACTCACATACTGACATAATATAAAAAGGGAAAAGAAAAGATAAGAGGTGTATTAATTATACATATTCATATCAGGATATTTATGTACATATTTCTGCACTTTAAACATGTTGAAATAATGAGGTTTTAAGTGTTAATATAAAACTTATAGGGAAGGAATTAAAAAAAAAAAACTGGTATTAAAAGGAAAAACAGTAATGTTTTCGCTTAAAAATTTTTAAATTTAATAAAATTAATAATATTTTCTTTTTACAGAGTCCTACGCCACCACAGTATGTGTATTGGCAAAAGAATGATCGTTTAATCAATTATTACGATTCGAGACGAGACATTTCAATAGAAACAACACCGGGTCCACGAACGCAAAGTCGTTTAATAATACGAGAACCACAAATTTCCGATTCAGGAAACTATACATGTTCAGCAAGTAACACAGAACCAGCGAGTATATACGTATTTGTATCGAAAGGTATGTATTTTTTTGAAATATCATATAAAATGAAATAAGAAAATGTGTTTATTAAGACCCATAAATGTCATTTAATAGAATTAATTAATTATTTGTTTTATGTATTACTTATGTGTATTTATGTGGTAAATATAACAATATTAAAGAGACGAGATTTTTTTTTAATTTCCAATACACAAAATAACACACATTTATTAAATTAATTTACTATTTTATTAATAAAAGTTTAAGAAGCGAGGAAAACTTTGTTTCATATGAAATCATATAAAAAGGAGCTAATAAATTATTATGGTTTATATATTTTGCAAAAGTACTTAATAAATAGAAATTTATTTTTTAATAATAAGTGTCTTATACTTAACTACCTTGAATTAAAATATGCACACATACAAACATATACATATTTTAATTTAGTAACCCAAATCAATTAAGTGTTAACTGAACATTATTTTTAAAAGCGTCATGAATAGTTGTTAAAATTTTTTTATTTATTTTTAATTTATTTTAGGTGATAATATGGCGGCAATATCTAGAAGAAAAACTTCATCTGCTGACCGTATTGCTGCCATATTTATGTATGTTGTGGCACCCTGTGCATTAGTAAATACATTAGTAATACGGTGAGTATATTTGCACCTAATTAAATATTTTATTTGCTAACACTGCCAGTCAAAGGATTAGTACTAATAGAAGAACAAATTTAGAAATACATACATTTAAATCCTATTTTGAAACTCTTTTGTAAACTGTTCTCTTGTAACTAGAACTGTTTGGTATTACAATTGTTTATGATTTTTGATTGTGACATTTCGTAAAATTTCCTTTAGTATTACTCCTAACTAGCCGCTTGGCCTCATTGAATTGTCTGCAACTCATTCTTTGAGTTAGCGCGATATCCGAAGAAAGCCAATAGGTTTTATTCTTTCCCCAGCAACTCTAAAGATGGCATTTAATGTTGTGTAAGTCTCTGTATAACAGACCTATTGTGAATAGCCGGTGCTTGATGTAGAAGCTAAGATAGTAGAGCATGTCACCTTACCATTTCTTTTTCCCTATTTCAGATAGGCAAAGCCTCTGTTTCACGAACTTCATTTTCAATATACCTGTGATCAGAGAAGGAACAGTCTTGGAAAATTTAATTTATTCAAGGAAAATTTAAAATATTAAAAAACCACTTCTCCTATAATAATAACATGTCCGCTTTTACTACATTAGTCCAAATAATAACTGAAGTTCATAAAATAATTTCACTTGAATTAATTCTATATCAATTTCTTTAATTATATATCAATAACACCGGCCTACAAAATTCCAAAAAAGTCGAAATCTCTCTCTCTTTTGAGACTTTATAACAGCTCCAAGACATTTTTATTTATACATTTTAAATAAAAGCTTAACATCTGACATAGTTTCTTTCTTCTTCGAGATATCTTCAACTAATGCTTGAAAACTCAAGGTTTTCATTATATTCATTGTATTAATACCATACACTACTATAGTGAGGAGGATATTATGCTTTGAAAATATTGTTTATAACGAGCAATAATACTGGATCCACACCTACCTGAAGATGTTCCAAACGACTGAAAATGATTTTAGATTCGACTTAACGATGTCTGTCCGTCCATCAACTTCAACGAATGATATCTCGGTAATTACAGAAAAAATGAGGGAAATTGGAATGTATGTATAAATATTTAAAATAAATGCAAAATGTACGGAAAAAAGTTTTTGTTAATTTATTGTTGTATCAAGCTTAAGGTAAAGATATCTCGAAAAAGAAAAAAGTCATGTCAGATGATTGTCATTCATTTCAAAACTGACAGAAGGGACTTTCAGATGGCATACAACATTTTATAAATAAAGAAGTCTTGGCGTTGTTATTACCTGCCAAAAGGGGCCTCAAATCTGAAATCAAATAAGATATGATAGGGATATTCTGATTCAGATTCGAATTTAGTGTAGCTTAATCCTTTAGAAAAGTATACTTTGGTCTCTGGCTTAAAAATTTGTCGATCTACTTATTCTGCAAATGAAAATAAAGGCAGAATAAGTAGACATTGATTTAACCGATATGTAATCTCGAGTTAAGAAAAGGAAAAAAGAATCATTTTTGGTTCAAAGAATTGTATTTTCTCCATGCCTCAATGCAGATATCCTCTAATCAAATAAGGTCGAATATAATTTTAAACTAATTACTGGCAGTGTCGTATTATTTCAAATCCATGCACGTGGCGAGAATACTGTGAATGTCTTGAGAAAAATATTAATTAAAAATTCAACAACAATATTTATTTAGTTTTATTCACGCCTAATAAGCAATTTTATATACATGTGCATTTATATCTATTTATTTTTGCAATTTTCTTTCAGGCGGATATTTCTAACTTAAGACTTCTTTAACGTATAAATACTTATTTAGCAAATGAAAAAAAGTGTTATAGAACTAAATTAAATCCTATTTAAGTTTCCAATTTACAAACATGTTAAGAGATTTAATAATAAAATTAATAGTAAATCTATTTACATCTTATACGTACATACATACATTCATATGTATAAATGTATGTTTGTAGGTGTATTATGTAAATTTATTGTAAGTGAATGTGTATTATTTAGCAAAACTACTGTAATTAATTAGTCTTTAATAAGAATGGCAACAATATAAAAGAAGCAACAAAACAAAATGCATGATTTTTTTTAATAATTATTATAAATGTACTATACAACATAAATACATGAAAACATACATATAATTATAACTAGTAATATTATTATTATTATTGTTTACTAATAGTAATAACAAAATTAATAATTAATACTATAAATTACTTAATGATAAGTGTCAAAAAATCACTATAATTCTAATGAATAAATATCTGTAGCATAATTAAATAAATTAAAAACATAATAAATATAATTCAATAGAATACAAACATACAAATAACGAAATAACGCGATCACACACGCCCACAAACAATTAAAATAATTTGATTTTCATTAAATTTTAATTGTTCATTATATTGTTTTATTAACATACATACATATGTACATATATGCATATGAAGACATATGGACAGAAAAATAGGTGTGTGCATTATTTAAAGTTAAAAATAGTTTAGAAGCAATAATTCACAAACTGGTTGCCAAATAACCATAAAGTGCTCCAAGAAAATTTAAGTAAAATTTACATTTTGAATGAGTTGATTCTTACATATAAAAACTAGAGAAATTATCCTGCTGCTCATTGAAATTTAAAGAAGACTACATATATCGTATGTTATGGACCAGAAGTGAAAAAAAAAGTAAAATGTCCTTTAAAGTAAAATTTAAATAATTGACCAAGATTTTTTAAATTGCCTTTACATGTATTTTGTTTGACTATATCAACTATAAATTTATCTTTGAATAAAAAAAATAAAAAATTCACACCTGTTTTTCTCTCGACATGTGTATGCATGTTTGGAATGTCCTTTTGTTTTATTCCCTCTTGTACAGTCTTAAATACCTGAATAAAACAATTTATTTTAGAATTGTTTATATGTGTGAAGGTTGTTGTTTTTAGTTCTGGGTGGTATGTGTGAAAGGGTGTGTCTGTGTGCTTGTATTTACCAAATGAAATTTTATATACATATTAAAAAAGCAAAGAAAAGAAAACTAATAATACAAATTATAAGAAAATTTAAAATACAAACCGAACAAATGACAGAAAATTCTATTATGTAAAATTTTCTATTGAAAATATATTTTGTACAGCATGTTTGTTAAGTTTTTGTCCATTATTCATTTTATTGTAAATTTAGGTTAAAAACTAAACTTATTGTACGTAAAAAGAGAAAATATTCAAAATATTTATTATTGTTTATAGATTTTATATTTTAATTGCAAAAATTCCAATAAAAAAGACAAAACAGCAAAAGAACATTGCAGATAAACCTTGTGAGACAACATTAGTATTTGTAAGCATTTACAGAACAAAAATAAAAACTAATTAATTTAAAACAAAAATTATTGTATACATCAATACAAAATTCATACATGAAACACATAAAATCACATGAAATTCTTTAGAATCTATAGAAAATACCTGAATGAATTTAAAAGCAACAAATGACGTAATTTCAAAACGGTATCTGTACAATATTTCAACCTGTTGTAATGTATTATATCATACAAAAAATATATATTGAATAAAATATTGCAAAATAACTGAATACATATTCATATGGAAAATTAATTATTATTTGATTAAAAAGAAATTTGATAAATTTATGATTTTACAATTCTAGCTATGTTCCTCACTGTAAAAATAAAAAAAGTTTTTCTTGCCGAGACAAGGCTGTTACCTCTCTTAAAATATCCTATGTGAAGATTTCCAATACATAAATATACACATTTTAGTTCTTAGAAAAATTTGTATTTCCTTTCAAAATAATACACATGTAATAATTAAAAATGTTTTGTTGAAAATGCAGGACTGGAAAATTCAGTACTATTGTAATTTCTTTAATACTCTTTGACATACATATGAAAATAGCACAGTTCAAGTAGTACATTTACTATATACTATACATATTAGTCTAGCCAATGGGCATGTACATTTGGACTCGAGGAGTTAAAAGACTTATCAATATACTTGTCAATACACAAGTCCATAAAAATCAATAATACAGTGCATAGCCTACAGTGTAATCAAAAATATTTAATTTGGAATTTCCAGCAAATAAGTAAGTAGTTTTGTTTTTTGAGAAAAAGAAAATTGCCTTCAAGGTAAAATATTCGTTTTGTCAAAAAAAAAGTTTTTGGAAAGAACAACATCCGAAAACAAAATTTCAAGGCTAAAAAGTAAGTACTTACATATGTAGTTATGTGTAAGTCATTACTAGACTCCTTCAAAGTAATGCAGGATATATATCGTAGTTTTTGAGTAAGAACAATTCATTAAAATGGCCCCGGCTCCTTATGATACTATCGGGAATCTCTTTGATAGTATGGCCAATCCAACTCCATTTCCTATGCTAATTGTAGTTATCCTAATGCTTGTTGTTTACTTCTTTTTTGTATTTTATATATATACCCAGCAAAAACTCGGTAATGGGTTGTACTTCCATAACCACTTATGTACTTTTCAATGACTACTACTTACCGTCTGCATTACTTAGAAGTACTCTAATAATGACTTTCTTATAACCAGATATGGAAGTACTTTATTTTCAGCCTTGTCATTTTGTTTGCACATATTATTTAATTTCATGTTAAGAATTGTGTTTTACAAAAAATGAAAACAAAATTAGATTTGTATGTGAAAATCATTATTTGGCGCGCAATAAAATAGCTAAGCAGTGAGTAGAACATTTGAGTAACAAACCGAAGTCCCTGGTTCGTATTCTAGCTGGCTCTTTTTATTATTAAAAAATAAAACAACTTACTAAACGACTTCTTTGTACGAGAAATTGCAAGTTCTTCTTAAACTCCCTATTTGTAAGCGAACGTGGAAGTACTTGCCTCCAATGACATCACCTAGTTAAAATAATGACTTAAAATGCTAATGAAGAAGTAGTGAAAAGAGGTTTTATTAGCATTTTAATCATTACTTTTCAATGTAAGGTTTTCCTGGGTAATTTTACCTATTTTAGGAAATATATATTTACTAAAGTATGTACTATCAAATATGCGCCGTTTTGAAGTAAAACTACAACCTATTTAATTAAATGTCTATTTTTACGGTGTGAGTGCATTTGGAACATGGTACCAAAAGGTACCATTTGAAGAATGGATAAGTACCAAAGAGTCTCCACTTACAGAATATTATTCAGTCAGGGCCATGTATATTAGGGTTATAACTAATTTGGCGAAATTTTTGGCATACCACCACGTGATAGCCAATGTTGTATATTAGTGAAAATTATTTTTTATGTCATTTGGAAGCAAAAACATCACGGACCAACACCAATTTCTAATATAAATCAAAGTTTTTGTTTAAGTTTTCATTTTTTTGGTATTTACACGGATATGATGTGACAAAAGCAGACTTTTCGGTGGAAATGTGTATATACAAACATTTGGGTAATGACTTTTTGATGTTTTTGCAAATATAAAATTTTACATCCCCTAATCAAAAACTCCATAAAAAATAATAAGAAACACAACACTCCCGCACCAAACGAGTTGAAATTTGTTGATCGTATCTGTTTTGATCATATCTTTGATACTTATAAATCTATTTACTGGTTTTACAAAGAGAAATATCTAATAAAATAATCTAAGATTTGGATTCCAAGGACATATGGGGCCTTAAAAAATTGATTTGAATAAACAGACGCACAGACATTTGGAGCGTGAGCTTTTTTAACAATCGCGAAAAACTAATACCGTGGTTTTTCATATCTTTTAATGCTCTATTCGACTTAGCTATGCCAACTTGCATATTTGCAAAATATGTCAATAGTTATATCCCTAATGTACATATGTTCAAATTTATGTTTCTAGGTAGACTATTTTAGAAAATTTAAAATGTACCATTTGAGAAATATAAAGTACTAAAAAATTCTCCATAGAACATGCAAAGAGTATAATTTGGAGAAAGAAAAAATACCAAAAGTGGAATAACCTTTGTGGAAAGTACTAATAAAAAGAGTACCACTTTCCCCCTTTTATTCTAGGAATAGACTTTTTCTAGAATTAAGTTTACAAAATATTCCGTGTTTTAATCTATATATCACAGATAAAACTCAAACGATTCAAATTTACATTAATTTTTTTCAGAAAAATTGTGCTTTCAAAAAGTACCAAACAATTTACCCGAATTTGGTCCCATATAGACCGAATTCCAAATTAAGTTAGCAATAGCTTATTTTCTATACATATTACAGAGTTAGAGTGTGTGCCAATCGGTAACAATTTACTTGAAAATGTAAATTTTTGATAGATATGAGGTGAATAAAATTTTACTAGCTCATAGGGCTATATAAATTTTTGACAAATGAAAAGAAAAATTTGAAAATACAAAAAATAAAATATTTTATAATTTTAGTTTATAATACATTTGTGATTGTAGAAATTTATTTTAATAATAAAAAAATCAATAAAAGTGTTTCATTTATTAAAATAAATGCAGATTTTCTTGTGAAATTAGTGGCATTTGTAAAAATTTAATGTAATCAAAAAAGATATCGTTTGGCACAGCAAAATGTTAAAATGTTCCCACCATAGGAAAATTACAATCCACCATAGAACTTTGCTATCATTTGGCACACGCTCTTAGTACGTAATTCAATAGGTATACGTCAATAAGAGTGTGTGCCAGTCGGTAACAATTTACTTGAAAATGTAAATTTTTGATAGATATGAGGTGAATAAAATTTTACTAGCTCATCGGGCTACATAAATTTTTGACAATTGAAAAGAAAAATTTGAAAATACAAAAAATAAAATATTTTATAATTTTAGTTTGTAATACATTTGTGATTGTAGAAATTTATTTTAAAAATAAAAAAATCAATAAAAGTGTTTCTTTTATTTAAATAAATGCAGCTTTTCTTGTGAAATTAGTGACAATTGTCAAAATTTAATGTAATCAAAAAAGATTTCGTTTGGCACAGCAAAAGTGAAAATATTTTCCACCATAAGAAAATTTTATTTTACCATAGAATTTTTGCTGCCGTTTGGCACACAGTCTAAGTCGAAAAAGTTTTCTTAATGTGCTAAAAAAGTACCAAAAATGCAGTTTTCTCTCTTTTACACCCAAAAGGGACTGAATTTTAAGAAAGTACGAAACAGGTGTCTCATAATTTTGGAAGATATATCCAAAATATGTACAAACATTTTATTAAGTTTATTAGTTAAAAAGTTATAAAGGGCCAAAGAAGGTACCTTAAAAGTACGAATTTCAAAAAAGTACCCGACACCCATCTGCTCATTTTAAGAGTAGATACAGGTTTTTACCCCTAAATGTACCAACCAAAATAACCAAAAACAAAATTTCATGATTCTAGGTTCAGCCGTTTTGCTGTGCGATGGTGAATCAGTCAGTCAGTAACACTACTCTTTTATATACATATATAGAAAAAACCCTTTTACTAAGATCTCCCATTTAATAGGTGTCATTATAATAACATAAAGTGTGGTAATGGATTAAATTAAATTTTGCATATCCATAGAATTATGTCCGCACAAAAGTAATTTTCACAAATAATTTAAATTACGTAAACATTTAAAATAACGTAACATTAAAAAATTAAATTACTTTCAGTAGAAATGTTTATCAGTTGTTGTTATTAAATATTAAATGCAATCAATGCCTGCTTAATATCTGACAAACAATAGTTTCAATAAAGTAATAGCGTTTATTTTTATTTTTAATAATAATATTTATTGTTTTAAATATACAAAAAATTAAGCAGAAAAAGTGAAACCATATTGGCAGGTAACACATGTATGTCATGGATTTATTTCTCGCCGAATTAACATAAATAATTGTTTATATAATCTGATGATTTATATAATTATTTATTATTCATTAAATATGTATGTAGGTACATTGTGCTTATGTATGTACTGTGTTTATGTACATATATAACTAGTATAAGAGTACAATTCATATTATAGTTTCGCAAATTCACTTTAAATTTATGTGCAACATAAATACGTGTGACAATTAAATTCGTTTTAAATTGTTCAGTTGTCTAATATATGAAAATTTCTATTTTTATTAAAATTCAATATGAAAAAGATAATTAAACTGCAATTTAAAAATATACATATATGTGTGCCATACAGAATGGAAAATTGCAAATATGAATGTATAGGGTAATTTCATAAAATTTCGAACATAAAAAAGTAGGATTTTGAACATGACACTCTCCGATTTCGAAATTCCATTCTGAAATTCAGCACACAAATTCTTCACGTAAAGTTCTCCAAAATGTCTAAATTCATATTTTTTAATTTTTTTTTAACAAGCATTAAATTTGACATCGTATATTTTCTAAACTATCTATCCAATTTTATTCATTAAATTATTATTAAAGTCTATGTCTTGTAGTTTCATAACATTTTCGTCCTTAAGTATCTTTAAAACGATACCTTCCATTTTCTTTATTCCTTCACCTAAAAGGGTAAAGTACAAAACCAGTTCCAAAATTTTTGAAAGCCCCTATAATATAAAATTCGTTAATAATTCTTAACTAAACAACCATATAAAATTTCGTTTAGACAATTAGAATTGAAGAATTTAAAATGACTCATACCAGCATTAACAATTAACTGTATATTTTTAAACAAAGCAGCAGATACCGTTTCTTTCGCTTCTATTGTCTAACCTGGACTATAATTTTCTGATCCAAAAATTCCACCTATTTTTATTATAATTGTAACAATTACATAGTTCCCCCTTCCTAGACCTATCGTACTAACAATAGACAGACTGACGATTCTAGTTTTACTGTCTTAGAATTCCACAAGAATCCACATTATACGTAATTAAAAAAAACTATTTGTACGTTTCTGAGATGGTTAATTCAAAAGAATAATAATAATTTCGATAAAATATAAAATTATGTATTACAAATAATTAGTACTTATTTTTGTTTAATAACTGTATATGATTATAACAAACAAACCCAAAAAAATAATATAAAAACAAAACATAATTAATTAGAATAAAATACATTCCATGAATTCCCCAAATGACATTAATGTCAATAAAAACAAATTATAAAGGTTGGTGAGAATAAGGCGCTACATCTCTTACAGCAAAAAAAAATACTCCTAAGCTCCAACAGCAACATCTACAGCAACATTAACAACAATATCAATACAAAACCACATGTTCATGTTCTCTTTCGTCCTTTGAACCCTTCATCTGTAATTAATTATTGTAAATATTAATCTAGAAAATTTATTACAATATAATATTAATATAATCATTATAATTATAACATTAAACTATAATAGTAAAGTAAAACTTTACTGATACCGATAAAAGAATAGTTATAAATAATTTAAATCAATAAAATATTAAAAAAAATACAAAAGGAAAATTAATTAATTAAAAAATAGAGTAAAAATAATATTGAGCAAAAAATAATACAAATGTTAAATAAATTATGATTTAATAAATTTTAAAAATTTAAAAACCCGCAAA